TTTGGGGTGGTTGTTTTTTTTTTTTTTTTTTTTTTTTTTACATCAATAAGAGAGTGAAACCATCAATGGGGTGAATAATTTTCATACACATGTACATCCTGTTTGGAGTGGGATTTTTGGAATTACGCTCTCTTACCACCATAAGGGAGTAATGTTTGGTGCTTCTGATGACTTTTCCAGAGAGAACACACACTGTGACGGAGACGCAAATCTGCAGGACGAGCAGGACCAGGATGACGCCCTGGAGTCCGTAAAGAAGCGTCTAAAAGACCCAAGACAAAACATAAAGACAGCTGAGGAATAAGAAACAATGGACGCTTTTCCCTGATCCTCACAGGCTTCAACAGGCTAAATCTGACGGCTCAGACGACGCTGTGTCTGAACAATCTGCTCGACACACTCGGGTCGTCCGTTCATCTCAGACTTACGTCCACTCTCCACAGTTGACTGGGGCATTTCCGCTCCCAGTTGTCCACCGTTCTGCTGGTGATGTTCCAGGTTTGAAAGTCGACGCTGGAGGTCTGGTAGTTGCAGATGAGCCGTGTGGGGGGTCCGGCAGCCAGCAGGAAGCAGGTGTAGCTTCCTGCCGCCAGGCTGAGCAGGACGCTGAACCCGTTGGACACCAGAGACACCCAGACCTGAAGAGACGGGGCACGACTTAGACACAGACTGATCCAGACACACTGACTGCTATAACTTCATCTGAATAAAGAGTTAAATAGACTACGAATATTTTTTTTTGTGAGTTCTAAAAAGGCAAAACCTCACCAGTCTGACTGAGGTGCGTCTTCCTGCCGCCAGAGCCAGAGAGCCGGACAGCACGAACTGAGAAACACCGGGATTTACAATTTAGATCATTAAGCTTTTTATTCATCATCGTATCGTTAGTCACTCAAATACATACTTTGTTATGTTTTCGTATTTTGTGAAATATTAAAATAATTTAGAAGTACTAGAGACAAAAGTGACTTAGGCTGTTTTCACACCTGATAGTTTGGTACGGACTCTGATTGGGGAGTCTGTACCCCAATCAGATGGTTTGCTTTAACAGTGTGTCAAACAAGCTAAACCCTTTGAAAAAAACAAAAAACAAAAAACAAACTATTCCTCCCCTCGCCTGTGATGGCGCTGCACCAAGAACCACTGAATAAAACAACACAAAACGTCTGAAGAAGTCTTCCTTCTTCTGAAAATGTAAGCAAAAATGGAGTGGCGGCAGATTTTAATCGGTTGTAAGATTTCTCTTGGCAAACTCCCTCTGCAGTTTAGCAAGTCATCATCTGCCGTACAACTCAATGCAGATTCAGATAATTATGAGAAGGTGTTTATCAAACTATAACAGCAGACTATATTGAATCCTGACAGAAGGAGGCAACAAATAGTGAAGGAAAGGAGTGAGGTCAGAATGATTCATGGAAAACTCAGGAAGGCCTTTTAGGAAACCTGGAGAATTTTAGAATATTACAGAAAACTTTGGGATAAGTGTTAGGAAGAAATTAGGTCTGGTTTGGGAGTACAGAACGGGAAGGTTGATGAATTTGGATTTGATCTCGGACTATCCTCAGTTTTGCGTTTACGCACCAAAACGCAGAGGGCAAACGGAGCGTAGATCATCAGAGCCCTGGAGAACAAAACCAACAGACTGACGAGAAGACACAGCGTGCCAATGAAGATCTGAACCACCTGGAAAAGACATAAAAAAAAAGGGGGATCAGTTGTTGTCTTTGAAGTTCACTCGTCACTGGGTGTCCCTGCAGTGGCAGACTCTCACCCCGAGGCCCAGCGGCTCGCCCCGCAGGAAGATGCTCTCCTTCGTGTCTTCCTTGGAGGGGGCCGGCGGGGGCTTTACGACGGGCTGCACAGCCTGGACCGCTGGGTTGGCAGGAGACTCGAGAGGAATGGAGAGGTCATCTTTGGGGATGACCTGTGTTACGATCACGACTCCACCCACAGTGGTGACAGATGTGGACGTCATGATGGATGTTCAACGGAGCTCAGGGAGAATTCTGGGAAATATACCGCTGCAAATGAAACATAAGGACCCAAACGTGATTAAAATGTTATAAACTGCAACAAGGAGTTTGTGAGCTGCAAGAATCCAAGAGAGAAAATGAACGTTTTTTGCCTCTTTTTAGGACATCTGGACTATTCAATCGGGTTATTTAGGAAGAGCTGATTAAAAGTCTACTGGACCCTCAGCAGGAGGTAAAATTACCCAACCTTCAGAGTCTTTCATCTACTCCAGCTATAAAACTACAACACCTAGACTCTTCACACCTGGACTAGGTTATTCTGCTCTAACAGCAGAAAACTTAAACCAACTTCATGACTTAATCACTGCTTTTCTTTGATTTGAACATCTCTCTCTTTCTGCTCATACTCGTATGAAAAACTCTTCTCTGTCACTGCAAAACAAACAAAAAAAAAGAGATTCAGTTTTAACTCATTTGAATTATTTTTCTGTTTTCATACGTCATTATGTTTGGATGCTCGTAATGCTTCAGTCGTTTTAATTTTCTTGCCTCTCCTCCATTTGCCCATGCTCAGTTTGTTCCACCTTTCTGCAGATTTTTTCTGACTTTACTCTGTTTTCTTGTTCATAAATAAATGCCATTTTCTGCTGTGACTACCTGCTGGTCCAAGAGGAGTGAATGCTGAAAGTCAATGACTCGATTAAATCTGCTGAAGTTCTTTAAAAGAAAATTATTTTTGAACAATCAACTGAGCTTAGGGTGCCGTTTGATAAGTAGGACCAGTTGGAATGTATGTACAGTTAAATTGAAATGATTTCAGAAACGACACAGTTAATGTTAATTGGAAATAAAAGCAGCACAAGACCAAATCTTGCTTCCCTGAAGATAGAAAATGGGGGAAACAGAGAGTTAACGTGGAAAACAGCAACATAAGGCAAATTTCAGAGAAAGAGGAAGTCAGTTCTCATGTGGTGCAGATGCAACAAAAAAAAGTGCTGAAATCGCCCTTTATTGAAGTTTCACAAATCAAATAAATGTTTCAGAAACTTTGGTTTTAAATATTCTGCTTTCGTTGAGAACAATCTAGTCCAGGTGTGAAGAGTGTGACTGGAGTAGATTCCTTCCTCCAATGACATGTGAATTTACCCAAATCGTTGCTGTCAATTTTTGATTGTGCAACTTTAAAAAGCGGCCGACCCATAATCCCTGTGCGTTTAAGACGTTTGGAAACAGCAGCTTCGGCATTTCTGTCTTCTTCATGGCCATATTATTCTCTCCATATTTAAGATGTTTTCCTAATTTCTTTATTATTCCGAAAGAAGGGAAAAAATAAACCAAATGTATTTGTTTTGTTAAACAACCTAATTTTGTGTGTAGAGTTTATTTTAATTTTTATACAGGCAATGTTTTTGCCTTATTATGCAACATTACAGCAATAAAATGTATTTCTAGTCAGTTATACTTAAGACCTTAATTGTGTTAATATGGGTTTAGATTGTATTTTCTAATAACTAGTAGTTCTTTAAATTGAACGCGCTGTTGAGCACAGAAACATCTGCCATCTGCCACCAGTTAATCTGTAACACGGACAGGGAGCGTCCAACTTGATAAACAGGTTTAAGAGTTTTATTGAACTCCGGGATATTAAGCAACCAAGAAGTACAGCAAGGAAACACAGACATATAAAAACTCCATACAGAAACAGCCCCAGGTCTGAATTAAACCCAGAGTCTGGGTTTGATAGCATGCTGCCAACTGCGCCATCGTTACAAAAAAGACATTTTGTCTGAACTACAGCAATGTGCCTCTCATTCTTGCATTTTTAAGATATGATATAAAGCACTTTGAGCTGCCTTGTTGCTGAAATGTGCCTTAAAATAAACTTGACTTGACTAAATTGTAAAACATTAATATATGCGACGCTGTTTACTTTATTGCAGCGCAATAACAGAAACAAGACATACAAAACAAAGCCTGATATAATCTCATAAAGCAACAATATAATTACCCGAGAAGAATAAAGTTGTTTACCTGTTTTAAATCGGTCGCTTTTCACCCAGACTCGGAGCGTGAATCTGTTAGGAAGTGAACTTTCCGAATCCAGGTCGGAGAGCCTTCAGGTGTCGTTTGAAAAACGGAAATCTCACACTTCACTTCCTCCACTGTAAAACTGAGCTTCGATAAGAACATGATATACACGGAACAGACAACAAATGTATGCATTAAGATGTCAATAAAGACATTTTACAAAACAACTGAATACAATGGAGATAAAACGTTACACAAATTATAATTACTTTACGAGATTTTACAAGACATCTGTATAAGTTCCGAGTATTTTTAATATATAAATGATAATCATGCTTGTTAGCATTTGTTTTCCACCTTACGTGTGGCTTTATTCTGCTGATTTACTTTGGGGCGGAGGGGGGGGGTTCCGATGAATTCATAATCCCTACAGTCTGTGAAGGCAGCACAAGGCGTTTGTTGTCACAAAGTCTAACAACATGCATTATATAAAGCGCGAAACACAAAGCTGAAATTGGTGTGTAAATAGAAAAAGAAGTGAATTAAAAATAAATTAAAAAAATGTAGAGAGAGACTGACTGGCACAGGCCACTTTATTAGGTACACCTAACTGTCTTATTTGTTGTTGAGATTTAACCTCAGATTTGTTGGCTGCACATCCATGATAAACCTCTAGAGGCTGCTCTGTTGCTTTGTGATATGTGGACGTACACTGAGTCTATTGTCATGCTTAATAAACCAGGTTTAAATTACAAGGAATAAGCACAGTTAAAGACTTGGTAGTAAATTAATTTGTTCCTATGTTATGGAGGGGGAACATATTATTTCAGGCAGCTAAAATATTTGGTTTCCCCCCTCATCACTCTGGCAAAT